TTCATTTTGAAATCAAATCTTAATTAAGAACCACCTCTCACATGAGATTTATCCTAATCTCCTCTCACCACCATCATCCCTTTAGCTACAAGGGCCTCTTCCCACAAATTTCCCTCTATTTACTTTGTATATATTTCGAATATCAATGTGTTTTCCCTATAGAATGTAAGTTTCCCTGTAGAATGTAAGCCCTTCTTAAACTTTTTCTTTGTATCCTAAGGTTCTAGCCAAGTGACTAGAGCATAAATAAACCCTTAATATGAGCTTGTTGACTGATCAACTCCTCTAATTTACTAATAAGTGAGGGTCAATGACAGATACATTAATCATTACACTTTTGGTAGTAATCTCATTTAATCCTCAAAATGGTTTTGTGAATGAGGAAAGAAAGAGGAATTGCCATTATTTGAAGGATGAAGCCAAAAGAGATAGAAGCCTGCCTAAAGCCACACATACTATTAAAGGCACAGTGAGAAGGATGACCCAGGCCTCTTGACTTATCACCCAGTACTCTTTTCACAACACCATTTCTAAGACATTGATTAATTGGAATTAGAAACCATTGAGAATGGGTGGGAGACTTCTGTTCCTTAGTGATTTTAAAGTATGCAGATGCAATTAAAAGATATGTTTTTTTCTTCCCTTGAGAATGATCATTATTTTTAAATCTATGTGGGATTTCATATTTGGGCCCAAAGGGATATGAAAGGCAATAAATAAGTTAAATTTTCATGAATAATCTTGTGCAGAGACAGAAAAATCTGACTTCTAGCAGGCAGGTTAGACAGACGGGGTAAGTCTAGCATCTATATCCTGCCCATATAGATTATTCTCTTATCACACTTGGGGGACATGTGAATAGAATGGATATTTAATCTGGGCAAGATAAAATGACTCTAGGAAAAAAAAAAAGAGAAAAAGATGAGTTCTTAGAGTCTCTGAATATGAATGACCTGAGCCCAGAGTAATCAAAAGGAAGTGAATTAAAGTAGTAGCTGCCTCAGTAGAGAGAAGGGGACATATCCAAGAGATCATGGGAACAAATAAATGCCAAGATTTAGGAACATGTTTGATATATGGGGTGAATTAGATTGAAGAGTAAAGGATGACAATAAGGTTATGAGCTTGGGGTGACCAAGGAGGTTGGTGCTTTTCCTATAATAGTGACATATGGAAAATGTGTGATATTAGGAGAAAAGGCATTAGGGCTTGATTTTCATTTGAGTTTGAAATTATGTTTCCAGGACATCTAGTTTGAAATGCCCAATATGCCATTAGTGATATTAGACTAGACCTCAGTATAGCAAGTAAGGCTCAATATATAGATCTAGGAGGTGAGGTGTATAGACATTTTACTTCCATTTTATGGTATTTGATGAAATCACCAAGTTACAGTGCATAGAGGAAAAAAAAAGTAAAAAAGGACCCTGGACAGAACTTGTGGTATACTCACAGTCAATTTTTGTCTTGATTTCAATGTAAACTCAAAAATAGATCATAAGAAGTGGTAGTCAGAAAGGTAAAAGGAGAATCAAGAGAGACAATAGTCATGAAAAACCAGAGGGGAGAGGGTGGCCAACAGTGATAGAGTTGATAATATTAACTATCCATTTCTCCAGTTTTTTTTTCTGCTTTCCAGAGAACTTCCTCACTACAGATGAGGTCAGGTATGGCAGGAATGTGCAAGAGGATAAGAATTGAGAAAAGATTATTAGATTTCACAGTTCTGATACTATTGATAATTTATCCAGAGTTAACGAATATTATCTTGTTTCATATACTCTACTTTCTAGCCAAACTGGCCTAGAGTCTATCTCTGACTTTGGCATTCCATCTCTTTCTCACACAAGCTGTGCTTTTGCACAACCTGTTCCATAGGATGGGAATACTGTCTCTCTTCATCTCTTCCTATTTTAATCCTTAGTTTCCTTAAAGGTCTAGTTGACATGCTCTGTCCTATGTGAAGTCTTCCCTGATCTTTCTAATTGTTATTACACATTGTCTCCTCAAATTCAATTCTCTTTCTCTCTCTTTGTCTGTCTCTCTCTGTCTCTGTCTCTGTCTCTTTCTCTCCGTCTCTGTCTCTGTCTCTGTCTTTGTCTCTCTGTCTCTCTCTGTCTCTGTCTCTCTCCAGATATGTATGGATGTACACGTATATACATACCTGCATATATACATAAACATATTGCTTATACTTATTAATATGTTGCTTTTATTGTAAGGTTTCTGTGTACATTGATAGCATGGTAATGACACTCCTAGAAAATTAAGTGGAAAGAAGTATAAGGAAGTCTTACTACTAACTCCACAATTTTTTCATCCCAAATTTTTAATGTGGAATATGAGAAAGATAGAAGTTAAGTAATTTGCCCAAGTTTACAAAGATAAATGTAGGGCCCATGCCAGAATCAAAACTCTCTTGACTCCCAAGTCAGTGGACCTCCCCACCTCCACCTCTTAGAATTTCCATAGTCCTTCAAACTCAATTCCATTGCCACTTCTTTCAGGAAGGTTTTCCTGATTTCCCCAACTGCTAGTCTCCTGAAATTGTGTTTGCTTGTATTTCATATTCACTTATATGTTTTCCTGTTGTTTTTTATGAGAGAACATAATCTACTTAAGGTCAGGGGCTATTTTATACTTTTCTCTGTATCTGCAACATAATATCTAAGAGTGGCTGACACATAGTACACACTAAATAAATGTTTGTGGTTTATTGATTGCTTTTGTTCATTACACATCCTTCCTGATAGTCAGCTACGTCACGCAGTGTAGAGATCACTGGTCCTTAAGTCGGGAAGACCTGAGTTCAAATCCAGCCTCAGTATTTGCTAGCTATGTGACCCTGGACAAGTGACTTAAAGTCTATCTCCCTCAATTTGGGGATGATATAGTGATAATAACAGTATCTACTTCACACATTTGTTGTGAGGATCATGAGATAATATTTGTAAAGCATTTAGCACAGCGTCTAGCCAGCATATAGAAGATGCTTAATAAAAGCTTATCCTTTCCATCCCCTCCAAGTTTTAATTAGGTTGTTAGTGATAATGATGATGATGATAATGATGATGAATAATTCTTTTAGTAGACCTTTAATGTTTACAAAGGGCTTTAAATACCTCATTTATTCAAGCCAGAATCATGGTCTCTTTATGTTCTTTAACATATTCAGTCCAGTGCTTGGTATATAGTGGACAATTTATGGTGCTTAAGTTGCTGAATGAAGGAAAAAAAAATCACTAATTTCAAATCTATTAAAAAAACAGCTCAGATACATTAGTACTTTCCCAGTCAGGAGATTGAACCTGTCATTTCATGAGAACTCCATACGTGAGGGAACTGCCTCTCCCAAAGAAGATTGTCATCTTCTCCAAAACCTAGCATTTTGAACTGTTCCTGGAACACTGAGAGTTTAAATAACTTGCTCAGGATCAAGCAGACAGCATGTATCAAACGCAGGATTTGATACAGATCTTCCAGACTTCAAGAGTAATTCTCTATGGATCATGGCATGCCTATTCCTTTTCTCAGGTAGGCAAGAACTAAAGTTGGTTTTTAATAAAAGATCCATTCAAACTACTGAAAGGATTCTAACCAGAGTCTAAGTCACAGAATTAGAAAATATAAAAGCCAGAAGACATTGTTGAGATCATCTGACTCAACCACTTCATTTTAATCCTAGAGACGTGAGGAAACATACTCAAAGTTACACAGTTAGTGAACATCAGAGGCAGAAGGTAAATCCAGTTCTGACTTCAAGTCCAGAACTCTTTCCACCAAATCACTATTATTCTTTTCATCCAGTAAAACATTGGATGGCCAGGGAACAGTACTTCTCCATCTCCAGAGGTACCCCCATTATTTATGTGGCATTTATATTTTTCTTTTCCCACAGATTAAACTCACAGAATAAATGGCAAAATTCAACTTCACGCAAGTGACTGAATTTATTCTCAGAGGTATCACAGATAGTGCAGAGCTCCAGGCACCACTCTTTATACTTTTCTCAGCCATCTACATAGTCACAGTGGTAGGGAACCTTGGCCTAATTATATTAATCAGAATTGACTCTCGACTTCATACACCTATGTACTTTTTCCTTAGTCATTTAGCTTTTGTTGATTTCTGCTATTCCTCAGCCATCACACCCAAGATGGTAGTAAATTTTGTAGTGGAGAAAAATACCATTTCATTCAATGCTTGTGCAACCCAGCTAGGATGTTTTCTGACATTTATGATCACAGAATGTTTCCTTTTAGCATCCATGGCCTATGACCGTTATGTAGCTATCTGTAATCCATTGCTTTACTCACTCATTATGTCTCAGAAAGTCTGCATTCAGTTAGTTGCTGTTCCATATATTTACAGTTTTTTGGTTGCATTGTTCCATACCATTGTCACATTCCGATTATCTTACTGTGGCCCCAATGTCATCAATCATTTTTATTGTGATGATCTTCCCCTCTTGGCCCTGGCCTGCTCAAGCACCCACACAAAAGAGATGTTGACTTTTGCCTTTGCTGGGTTCAACATGATTTGTTCTTCAACGATTGTCCTCATTTCCTATATTTTCATAATTGCTGCCATCTTGCGTATCCGTTCCACAGAGGGCAGACTCAAAGCTTTCTCCACCTGTGGATCCCATATGGTGGCTGTCACCATTTTCTATGGCACATTGATCTTTATGTACCTACAGCCCAAGTCGAGTCACTCCCTAGACACAGACAAAATGGCATCAGTTTTTTACACAGTGGTCATTCCCATGTTGAACCCTCTAATCTACAGTTTAAGGAACAAAGAGGTGAAAGAGGCCCTGAAGAAGGCTCAAGCCCAAGGACATGAAACATTAAAAATGCTTCAGTCCAGAAAGTGAAGAGGATGTTTGAAAAGCAGTTGAGAGAACAAGATTCCCTTGTACTTACATTGCTTTTAATAAGGTTTTTGTCACTCATTCACTGAATCTTTATCACATCAAGACTCTGTCTTGAGAAGGGGTAGGCCTGGTCTTTGCAAAAGGTTACAAGATGTCAGAGATGACAGGACATTCCTGGCCTCAAAATGTTACCCCTATTACTTTCCATTTCAATACTACAAGAAGCCATGGTACTGTTATGAATATTCCCTCCTTTACAACTTAACAGAGAGTCTTAAAGAGCTGTTATGGATAAAAGAATGTCATCAGTCTGTAAGACACATGGTGGTATAGTCAAAAGAGCAGACTGTGTAATTAGAAAATCAAGTAGCAATCCTACCTTTAATGGTTTTAATTGGCCTGACCTAGACAAGTCCCTTAACCTCCTTAGACCTCTGTTTCCTCACCTGTAAAATGGAGGTCAAAACAATTGGTCTTGGGAGAGGTTTCAGGCTCAAATGTAGATCTGTGATCCCCGTGAGCCTGAAGGAAGTGAACTAGGATGAATTTCAAATACAGAAAATGCCAACTGTAGTCATATAACCAATTCTTGATGCGACTCTAGCTTTGGAGAAACTGATGGAGGTTATTCTAACACTGACACTCCTTTAAAAAACTCAGATTGCTTCTATGACCTGATAAGGCAGGAATGAAAGCACACTTGATACTGCTCAGAATCGCCACATCAAAGAATGATTGCTTTTCAGTGAGCCAGAGTCTACTACGAAAAGGCTGATATCCTTGGCTATAATCAGATCCACTTTATGAAAAAGTGCCCCACCAACCCAGGAAATTTTTTGTGAGGAACAAATGAGACAATGAAAGTGAAAATGCTTTTGAAGTATGCCACAGGCAATGAATAAAAAATAAAACCATTATTAACTCCACATAATAGACAAGAGATCAAATTTCATGAATATTTATTATTTTATTGATAAGATTACATGAGGTCAAACTCCTTCTGTCTTGGAAGACATTTTTATAAAGTTTGCTGTCCATGTTAATCTTTTCAGTCACAGGATGATTTGAGAACCTGTGAATCATCAATCATGTATGAGCTTTGAGGTTTCATTTGTGTCTATACTATTTTTGTAATGGTTTTTGGTTTAAAATGAATCAGCCATACAATGTATCAACTTTAATTGTGTCTAGAGGTGTGTTTTTTCCAAGATAGCTGGGGAAAAGTTTAATGGAAATATTTTTATTATGAGATAACATTGTCTATCCCCATTTTTCATTCCTTCTTTCTGAGGTTACCTTCCACTTATAAAAGTGTACATATACACACGAATGCACACATATTATAGGCAGATACAGATATAAATATACAGATTAATCAATAGATATCCATATATATATATATATATATGTATGTGTGTTTGTGTGTGTGTGTGTGTGTGTGTGTGTGTGTTCAGTTTCAGGGGCCATAGTTTAAGGTCATCAGTAAGCTACAGAGCATCCACACAAGGGTTACCAGAGCGTACAATAGTGAAAGGCCTTGGATCCATACCATTTAAGAAGCAATGAAAGAAACTGGGAATACTTACCAGGGAGAAGAGAAATCTCAGAGAAAACCAGGAGTAATGGACAAAATGATAAGGAAGAAAATTTAGGCTTGCAATCAGGATAAATAGCAACAATTATCTAAAAATTAGAGATGTTCAAAATGGAAATTAGCTTCCTCAGGGAGTGGAGAGTTCCCCTCCATTGGAGGTCTTCAAGGGAAGTTGGATATGCCAAAATATAAAAGATGTTTTGAATATGCTTTATTGAAGATTCCCTTTCAAGCATGAGTTAGACTAAGTAGCAATGTGTATTCAATTTCAACTCTGAAATTGAGTGAATTTCTAATTCTGGGTAGACTATCATTATTTTGAACTGGGATCTTCATGACAATTTCAATTGTCATCTATAAACTTCACTAATAATGAGGCATTTTAATGCCAGGTGAATAATGGGGCTTGGTTATGATATAGGTATGAATAGCTGGTCTTCTGAATAGCTGGTATGGTTACCTGAAAGATGGAATAGTATATTTTTCATTCAATTATTTAAATGATGTATATAGATAGAATCATGAAAGTTTAGCTCTGTAAAGGTCCATCAAGTTCATCCAATCTAACATTATCCTTTTACAAATGAGAAAAATGAAGACTTGAGGTTAAGATTCTTGATCAAATCTACAGTTAGTAGTAGAAATTCAAGAAGGAATAAGATTTCTTAAGTCATCTCTTGTTATGTTTTATATTGCACTGGACTGTCTCCTTCAATTTTTAAAGCAACCACAAACAAATAATTTGAATTATTAGTGATATATTTCTGTTCAAATTATGCAAAATTACACAGAAACCCAAGAAATATCAATATCAAAGAACAATGAATTCCTTCATTTTTCTTAAGTGTTATTCTCACTCAAACTATCTCTACCCTCCTCCAAGTTTAAGCAAAGAATGTCATTTGAATATATATTCAAGACATTCCTTGTGTGTGTATGCATGTTTGTATGTATATATGCATATGCATACATACACATATATACACACATACATGTATGTATGTATATACCTGTATGCATATATGTATAGGTATGTGTGTGCATATACAGATACAATATATTCAATATGTATTACATATATGTTCCATATTATGTATTATATATAGCATGTGCATATGTATACATATAGGATGTATGTATGTATGTATGTACATATGTGTGTATGTGTGTATGTATAACCAAAAATTTTCCTGGAGGTCAGCTAGCCTTCAAGACAGTTAAGCATATACAGTTTTCCAAATGGCTTTTCTAATCTTCTAGTACTTTGCCTTGTAGCCTTAAAATCTAGACTAGAGTGGCATTAAGACTTCTGAAACAGTCTGAATACTGAATAAGGGAAGCTTCCAAAATTATTATTCTTCTTAAATATTTATATGCATTTTCAATTACAAGGAACAAATGACTTCTGTGCCTCCAAATGAAGTATTTTTGAATATTCTGGATTATTTCTGGGGATTGGTTGAGTGGCTTTATTTCTTTTTTATCATTTTCAACTCAACTTTCTGTAACTAAGAAGCATTGGGTGCTAAATATCTGGGACTAAGAGCATTTAGGGTGCTCAAATGAGATAGTGGTTTTAAAGCACCTTGAAAGCCTTAAAGTGCTGTATAAATGCCATTTATTATTCACAGTCTATAATACCCAATCCTCTGGTTTGATGATGATTTCGTTCCATGAAATTTCTGCTGTGCTTGTGGTAAACTGAAGCAATGTTGATGGAAAAATACAGGGTGTGCTGGTAAATGATTAATAACTGGTTCTCTCAGGAAAAAAAGTATGCACACACACACTTTATGCATAATTTGTATTATTAATGTTTCTTAAGTCTAGATAATCAAGAAAACAATAAATCAAGCTTTCCAATTTCTGCAGTATAAATGATCACATTGAAAATGTAATAATCTGTTCTTACTATAGGTTGGAATGTGCTCCAGTGCATTTCTACAAATTAACCTAAAGACATAACTTTATCCATTACACTGTAGTTCATAGAATTACAGACTAGCAGTTAGAAGCAGGGGCATGATGGAATCAACTCAAACCTGCTCCTCAGAGCCTATTGTTAAATTTTCAATGTGAGCATTTATGCTTGGGATTTGGAAATTCAACTAATCAGGACTTGAAATGTTGCTTTGTTGATTGTCTACACTTAAGAAAGTGATGAAGAAAATGCTAATAATACAGGTGAACCTTAAAGGTATGTCAACACCAGATGGTGGAGTACAAGCAACAACTTTGCTGAATTATGACAATATTCAGCTCAAAACAACATTAAAATAACTTCTCAAATTGAAATCCAAAGTGGCAGAAGTATGAGAGTTTTGTTTTTGTTTTTGTTTTTTTTGGTTTTGTTTTGGTTTTTTTTTTTGGTTTTGTTTATTTTTACCAGCCCAAGACAACTTAGGCTGGCAGTAGATATCTCTGACACTGAGATAGGGGGATGACCTAGAGCATCATGAAGCAGCACCAGCAGCAGGCTTTAGAGGTAGCAGCAACAACAAAAGCATCAGCAATTTCAGGGGATACTCAGCCTAAAGATGGTAAAGGGATTGTCTAACTGGTTAGAAAGAGATTACAGGGGACTCTTTTCTATCACTGGGTGCAGACATCTTGTATTGTCTATATGCAGTTCAAGGGTGAAGAGGGACACTAGCACTTACGGCCAGAGGTGAACATGGGCAATGGTCACAATGCCAGGTGTAAAAATACTACTTGCACTTTTTCACAAGGGAGCAGGGCCCCTACTTTCACTTTCAATGCAAAAAGGAGCACTAGCACTTGAGTTTTCAGGAAAGCAAAGTCTCTTCCTTGGTAAAGACCAGAGCACAAGTGAGGAGAGAAGTGGCCATACTTCTCCTTGAATCATACCATGTTAGAAGCACTAAAAACTCACAGAACACCATAACTTGCTCTAAAAACAGCAGCATGAAAATTGTGAAGTTTGGGACAGTGCCCCTTGACTACAAGGTCCAGATTCCAGCTTTAACATAAAGCTAAAAGTCAAGAAATAGTATCAAAATTTATCAAACAACAACAACAAAAAAAGAACCTTACCATAAAAATTTGCTAGGGTGACAACTAAGATCAAGACACAAACTAGGAAGAAGCCAATGAAATAAAAAAAACAACTTCAAGCAACACCTCAAAAAATATGTAAATTAGAGAAAAACTCAATAAAAATTCCTATAACATACCTACAAAACCCAACAACAAGAGATAGAAAGAAGAGTGCCATTTAAAACAACTGCAGACATTATAAAATACTTGGTAGTCCACCTTCCAAGACAAACCCAGGGAATATATGAAGACAATTGTATATCACTTTTCACAGTATTAAAGACATCTAAACAATTTAAGAAATATTAATCATTTATGAGTAGACTAAATCAATATAATAAAAATAATA